CCTATTAAAGGGAACGGAAACTCGGTCATGGGGAAGATGGGCAGGTTACACGGAGAAAACTTTACGTTAGATATAGAGTATGTGCATATATATGTATGTTCAGGTATGTATGCATGTATGTGTACAAATATATATATACTTACACGTATATGCATATATATATAGTTAACTTTCTTTTCAAAAGCACTCATCAGTTCTTGAAATTTTTTTTAGAAATACTTAGAGAATCATAGCTACCTTCACATTTAAATTACCGGTAGTTTCAGGCATAATATGCTGGTATATTTTTTGTTCTCTAAGAAGTTTTCTCTCCCACCTCAAAATCCCACATTGTGAAATTGACTAAGCGGGGTAAATTACAAGAATTGACTAAAGCTGTATGGATATACTGTGGAGATACCCCTTTTGTTGTTGACACTACGTCTGTACTTCGTAAAGCAAGACAACTTTCACTTTGGTGGGGATGGGGAAAGGAGAGAAGGTAGCGGAAAGACAAGAAGCTGAGAGATGAGTCTGCCAACCTAAAACTGCGCACTGGCTTAGTGCTCTGAGTTATCTAGTCAGGAATGTCACTCGTTCGTTTAACAGGTTCACAAGTACCTAGTCGTCAAGTGCTCTGCTTGGTGGTGATGCACAGTGCCGGTGTCCACGTCTTCCCGATCCAAAGCTGTCTTCTTTCGTAGTGACTGACGATCCTCTGATATCCAACACTTAGCATTCTCAATGAAAGGAGTATCTGAATGTATATGAAATTTATTGTCAAGTTGTCACTGAAAATTAACTCACTGTTTCTTAAAGTGTATTGTGCACTAATAGGTATTAAGAAAACAAACAAAACCCAACTTCCCTTGAGTTAGTTCAGACTCATGGCAACCCTGTGTGTATCAGAGTAGAACCTTGCTCCGTAGGCTTTTCAATGGCTGTGGTTTTTCAGAAGCAGATTGCCAGGCCTTTCTTTCAAGGTGCCTCTGGGTGGATTCTAACTGACACTCCTTGGGTTAGTAGTTGAGTGCTTAACTGTTTGTGCCACCCAGGGACTCCGTACTTTAGATCCCTAAATGAATTTTGGAAATGTTGGCTTATATGAACTTCAACAGGTTTCTTTGCTTGTCTGTATGTGTTTTTTTAATATCAGCCCTCTTAGCATTCAATGTGTGAGAATCTCTGTTTGGAATATAGTGCCCAGACTTTCCCAAACTGAGTTGACCGCAGAATCCTAACTTCAAGGAATCTGAGAAAAGCGCCCCATCAAAGGTGTGTTTTAACTCTAAAGAGGTTTTTTTTTTAATTCGTTTTTGTTTTTAATCACTTTTTCCACCTCTTCTGTCAACAGAAGTGATGCCACCAAAAAGGAATGACAAATACAAGCTTCCTGTTCCACTTCCAGAAGGCATGGTTCTGGGTGATACAGAAGGAAAACAGTGGATGCTGGGCAAGATGATCGGCTCTGGAGGATTTGGGTTGATATATTTAGGTAAAGTATAACTGCAAATTACCAAGTTTTCTTACAATTGGACTATAACTGTCATTACTTGATATTATTTTAAAAATGGAAACTTTGAAATAAATGGAATCCATAAATTATTTAGGAACATAAAGAGAGTTAATGTACAGTAAAATGTCTAGGTCCAAGGCTTGTGAGACCTCACTCCTTATTTCCATGGTTTTCTGAATGACTCTTAGAAGTCTTTTCAGAGCACAGTTATACAATCTGTCAGACAAAATGCTAATATTCTTTTTAGAGCTTGTTTTCCTAGAAGCATTGCTTGTTCCAGCTCAGAAACCACAACTGTATAAATGCAAACACTTTCCATTTGTGAAACTTAAGTCATTAATATTTAAGTAATACAGAGGTCTAGGCTTTTCTTAACTGGCCTCCACTCAAGAATTAAGCCTTAATGCCTCAAGGCATCTGTTGCATGGAATGAGTTAACTTCTCTCCTGTGTATCTAGAGTGATGCCAGTTTTGTGCATCCTTGGGATAATTGAGAAGACAGACACTGAAATTATGTTCTGTGTTCTTTGGTAGAGATTAGGTGCTTGACAACTGATTGAGAAAGCTCAGTATACTTTTTACACCGCAGGTTAACTGAATTTAAAAGGATCGTTCAGGGCTACCTTAAATCAGTAGTGGAATGAAGAGGGGATATCCATTACATGACTAGATTTAATGAATGAAATAAATGTTAGTGATTTAAAAAAAAAAATTCCCCTCAAGGACAAATTCTCCTAAATGTACTGATTCATGCGTCTAGTTCTGTAGGAGTCTGGAAGTTGTTAAAAGATCTCCAGTGGGGTGATCTTGGGTTCCTCATCAGGCATTTCCAAACATATTTCGTGAATAGTGGAGGATATAGCACCTCTTCTGATAAAATTGAGACTGTAGTTTTAAATGAGTGAAATTCAGTCAATTAACATTTATTAATCACCTCTGTGTCTAATCTAGTCAGAAAGATAAGAACAGAAAAAAATCATACGGCCTAAATTAAGGACAGTTTCCCCATTTAAAGGGTTTGAACTTGCTTGAAAAATGCTATGATTCTAAGTGCTAGATGAGTGAC